CCTGACGGGACATGAAGCCCCTCCCCCCACGTGCAGGCCCTTCTTCCTCTACGTCGCCTTCCACGACCCCCACCGCTGCGGGCACTCCCAGCCCCAGTACGGGGCCTTCTGTGAGAAGTTTGGCAATGGGGAGAGCGGCATGGGGCGCATCCCAGACTGGACCCCCCAGACCTACAGCCCCCAGGACGTGCTGGTAGGAGGGCCCTCGCCGTGTTTCCCAGGCGCCCACCAGCCGTCGCCCAGGGGGTGGGAGGTTAGCCTGCAAGGAGAGCCCCTCCGGCTGCATTGGGCCCAGGTCCCCATCCTCGGGGCCGCAGACAACCCCAGAGGTGTGGGGTGATGCGGCCAGCGGGAGTCGTTCTGGGCTCACCATTTGCAGGAAGAAGGTTCCGGGCCCTGGGGGGGGAAGGCTAGCATCTCCACCCCTCCCCCATCTCCCTGTTCCAAGCTCGCCTCTGCCTCCCAGGTGCCTTACTTCGTCCCTGACACCCCAGCGGCCCGAGCCGACCTGGCGGCTCAGTACACCACCATCGGCCGGATGGACCAAGGTGGGCTCACGGGCTGGGCGGTGGGGCGTGCCAAGGCTTCCGTCCCCCCTCCTGGGCCCGGCGCCTCTCAGCCGGTCAGGCTTGCCCCGGGGGGGTTCCCACTGGCAGCACAGTGTGACCAGGTCTCCCTGTGGAAGGCCCGGGGCTGGGCTGGGCAGAGATCACATTCAGAGAAGGGGCTGGGCGAGGGCTGGACTCGGCAGCCCCGTCCTGGGGGTGGTGTCGGGACTCACTCCCGGGCTGCCCTGATGCGGAACTGCTCCTGGGCCCATCCTTTGGGTGCCCAGAGGTTTGGCAAACACTCCACATACTTTTCCAGCAATGGGATTTGATCAGATTTGGGGTTTTGGAGTTCCCTAGGTTATGCAGTGTAGAACTTGGAGGGGGTTGTTCGTGTTATGTGGCTGCTGTGACAAAGAACCATAAACTGGGTAGTTTAGAACTACAGAAATTTGGGCCAGGTGCGGTAGCTCACGCCTGCATTCCTAGCTCTCTGGGAGGCTGAGTCAGGAGGATCACTTGAGGCCAGGAATTCAAGACCATCCTGAGTAAGAGGGAGAACCCATCTCTACTAAAAACAAAAATTAGCCGACATGGTGGGTGGTGCCTGTAGTCCCAGCTACTCAGGAGGCTGAGGCAGGAGGATCACTTGAGCCCAGGAGTTGGAGGTTGCAGTGAGCTGTGAAATCAAGGTGTCAGCAGGGCCGCCCCCCCAAAGGCCTAAGGAGGCTCCCACCTTCCCTCTTCTAGCTTCTGGGCAGTGGCGATGCTTTCCTCCCCTGGCTTGCGGCCACATGGCTCCTGTCTCTGCCTGAATGTGCAGGAGCCTTCCCATGCGTCCCCTTCCATCTCTGTCTCCTCTTAGCAGGGCCCCTGTCGTTGGATTAGGGTCCCCCGGGTACTTGAGGATGATCTCGGCCCAAGAGCCTTAATTATATCTGCAAAATCTCTTTATTTTTTATTTTATTTTATTTTATTTTTGAAACAGAGTCTCACTCTGTTGCCTGGGCTAGAGTGAGTGCCGTGGCGTCAGCCTAGCTCACAGCAGCCTCAAACTCCTGGCCTCAAGCGATCCTCCTGCCTCAGCCTCCCGAGTAGCTGGGACTACAGGCATGCGCCACCATGCCCGGCTAATTTTTTCCATATATTTTTAGTCGGCCAATTAATTTCTTTCTATTTTTAGTAGAGACAGGGTCTCGCTCTTGCTCAGGCTGGTTTCACACTCCTGACCTTGAGCGATCCCCCCGCCTCGGCTTCCCAGAGTGCTAGGATGACAGGCGTGAGCCACCGCGCCTGGCCGCAAAATCCCTTTATGCAACAACTCTTTTATGCAACACATCTTTTGGGGGAGTCTCATTTCTCCCCGCTATAGGAGGTCGGTGCCTTTGCTGTGTCCTTCTTGGTGCCACGGCCTGGGAAGGGGGTGAGTTGCAGAGGAAAGCCTGTCTTCTGGCCCACGTCTGTTTCTCTTTGCTCCTTGGGACAGACATGAGATTCCAGAAAACACAGAAACCGGCGTAGGGCAGGAAGCAGCCGCGTGGAGGTGGCACAGCAGTGCCAAGGGGCGACCAGAGGCCGTGGCGGTCCACACGGGGCCGCTCTGGGTGGGTGCTGGGCGAGGGGCCCGGCTGGTGGGAGCACCTGCAGGGTGTTGCAGGGTCCAGCGGCCGCGTGCGGAGGTGGTGAGTCTGCGCGCGTTCCCGTGCCCCCCGTCGTGCCTGTGGCTGAGCCCTGCTGCCCACCCCCGCCCCCTGCAGGGGTCGGACTCGTGCTCCAGGAGCTGCGTGGAGCGGGTGCCCTGAACGACACCCTGGTGATCTTCACGTCTGACAACGGAATCCCCTTCCCCAGCGGCAGGACCAACCTGTACTGGCCGGGCACCGCCGAGCCTCTGCTGGTGTCCTCCCCGGAGCACCCAGGACGCTGGGGCCAGGTCAGCGAGGCCTACGTGAGCCTGCTAGGTACGGCTCTGTCTTCTCAGGCGGGGGACCGGGCGGAGGTGAACCTTCGGCGGGGCCGCCTCGCAGCAGGCGTTGCCCTGCACCCGTTGCCGCGTGTGGTTCTCACACCCACCTGGGTGAGGGCGGGACAGACGCGCCCGTCCTACAGGTGGAAAGGATGAGGTTCAGAGGCGCAGTAAGCTGCCCGGGGTCACACAGGTGTCAGCAGCACCTGCTAGGATTCTAGCCCAGGTCTCGCAGTCTCGCTGCTGTCCACGCCGTGGCCTTTTCCAGTGGGCCACACGTGAGCACCAGTTCCCCCTGCGATGCTTGTCAGTGCCCTCGTGGCACCCCCAGACTGAGTCCGTGGGCCTGGGCTGGTGCTTGAGAATTTGCGTGTCTGACTCGTTCCCGGGTGACAGGATACTGTGGCCCCAGGGACCCTCTCTGAGAATCGCTGCTCCCTGTGGCACCTGCCCGGGGACCTGGGCACCTCGTGACCCTGCCCATGTCCACAGAGACCTGGGGATGCCCAGTCCCCCATCATAGACAAACCTGCAGGTGTGGGAAGACTGTGAGGGGCCTGGGGTGAGCCCCTTGGCCCAGGGTGGAAGCTGCCACCCCTGCCCACTGCCCAGCAGGGCCACCAGGCGAGGCCACCAGGCAGGGCCACCAGGCAGGGCAGGCTCAGGGCAGCAGTGCACTCAGGGCCCACATTTCTCTCTTCGGCCCCAAACCATGAGCCCAGAGTGCTGTGGCCACACCGCACAGCAGGCATAGACAAGGCTTCCTACATAGGGTGCTTCCTTTCTGGTCCACGGGGTTGTAGAAGGGTCCCCAATGTCACCAAGTCGGGGCCTCTTGCTATACGTTTAAAGGCATCGTGGCCCAGAGAGACAGTGTAACCGTGGGAGGTGCCAGAGCCACACCTCCCTGTTGGGGGTTTGACCTAGTGGCCACCAGCTTCCCAGAGTGGCTCAGGCTCCTGGGCCCTGGGGCCGCCGCACTGAGCCGCTGCTTGCTCTGCAGACCTCACACCCACGGTCTTGGATTGGTTCTCCATCCCCTACCCCAGCTACGCCATCTTTGGCTCGAAGACTGTCCAGCTCACTGGCCGGTCCCTCCTGCCGGCGCTGGAGGCCGAGCCCCCTTGGACCACCGTCTTCGGCAGCCAGAGCCACCACGAGGTCACCATGTCCTACCCCATGCGCTCCGTGCACCACCGGAACTTCCGCCTGGTGCACAACCTCAGCTTCCGGATGCCCTTCCCCATCGACCAGGACTTCTACGTCTCCCCCACCTTCCAGGACCTCCTGAACCGCACCACGGCCGGGCAGCCCACTGGCTGGTACAAGGACCTGCACCACTACTACTACCGGGCGCGCTGGGAGCTCTATGATCGGAGCCGGGACCCCCACGAGACCCAGAACCTGGCTGGCCACCCGCACTTCGCCCAGGTGCTGGAAATGCTTCAGGCGCAGCTGGCCAAGTGGCAGTGGGAGACCCAGGACCCGTGGGTGTGCGCCCCTGATGGAGTCCTGGAGGAGAAGCTCTCCCCCCAGTGCCGGCCCCTCCACAACGAGCTGTGACAGCCCCCGGAGGCACCTACCCTCCCCGTCTCAGACATGTTCCTGCCGCTGGCCACCTGGCCTTCTCGGCTGGGGATGGAGGAGACCAGCCCTGGGTCGGTGATGCTGGCCCTTCTGAGATGCTGGTGTCATTCCTGCCTCTGCCTGGAGGGGGACCAGGCGTGTGCCCCAGCCCTTCCCCCCAGGACAGCTGCCACCATAGTAGGGGACACCACCGTCCTTGTGTCTGAGTTGTGTCCTGGCACGGGAATTCTAGGGGGGCCCTGGGGACAGAGTGGGACACAACAAGGGAGTCTGTTTTCTGGGTTGGTTTGGGGACCTGCAGGTGGAGGGACTTGAAACCCTCTTCAGTCTTTGGAGCCCTTCCCCCGTGAGGAGGTGGGGGCCTCTGTGCCACAAGGGCATGGGTGGCCGGTGTGTCCAAACCATGCTCTACGTGGCAGCCTGGCATCTGGCTCTTGCCAAGCCGTGGTCCAGAAGAAGCCTTGGAGCAACCTGGGGCTGGTTTCTGCTTCCTTTGCTTTGCCCCAAGGTCAGGCGCAGCCCAGGAGGGCGTCTGCTGACAGGCAGCTCCCTGCCCAGCCTGAGCCTGTCGTCTTTCTGGGCAAAATTGTCCTTTCCGAGCGTGTCTAAAGACGAAGGTGTGCAGTGCCCTGTCCTCTGTCTTGGGTTGGCTCTCTTTGGACGGCACCAGCATTCGGTGGAGAATGTGCCAGAACCTGCCCTGCCCCCACACTCCACAGGAGCATCATCTCGGCCTGGGACACCTGGCAGGCGGGGGTTCCCTCCTCTCCCCTGCCATCGACTCCATACTGGGGGTGGCGAGGAAGCCACAGAGTATTGTAAAAGCCTTTCGTTTAGTAAAATATACAGAAGTTCATTTTCTGAATGGTTTATGATAATACAAACCCAGATCTTAGAGCAATGTTGTGATTCCTGGACCCAGCTGTCAAAATGACATTCAGTCTAGGACAGTCCTGGGGGCAGGAGGCAAGGCCAGGAGGTGGGGGGACCCGCCTGGGCCGTGCCCGTATGGCTCCCCAGCCCTGGAGGTGGAGGGAAGATATTTGGCCCCAGGAAGGGGCTGGGGCACGATGCCAGGTGGGGGGAGGCAGCTCGCGGGCTCAGGAGGAGTCCAGGCCTGTCCAGAGGGGTCTGCACCAGGCTTCTCCAGGACGCCCCCTGGACCCCGGGGCTGGGGGGCTGGACACGGAGGCTGCCAGGCACAGACCCACTGAAAATGCTGTTTCTGTCACGTGGAAGCTTTATTTACAGGTGAACACGCTGGTGTCTCTGAACCGGAGTTACGGAGGCATCCCTTGGCATCAGACCCGAGAAGAGCGCGTGGGGGCTACGGCACACGGGGTCTGTGCCGCTGCTCTGCGCAGGGCAGCAGCGACCTTGGGGGTGGGGGCGACAGGCTCCCACCCTGCTGCCTCGGTGGGTTTGGAACCAGCCCTTGGACACCCGGAAACGTGAAGGTGCAGCCTCCCTGCGTTCAGGTGGGGCAGTCTGCAGACACGTGGTTTTCTGGAGCGGGCTGCGGCCTCCAGCTCTGGGGAGGGTGTGGGAAGACCCCTGCCCACTGCAGAAACGTTCCCAGAGTCACTGGTTCAGACCACGCCAAGCCCCAGGGAAGGGGGGAGGTGCTTTCTACAGAAAGGTGAGCGAAGACAAGGGCCCCACTGTTCACAACCTGCACGTGGCGAGCGTTCAAGGCCAGGCCCTGGCCAGAGAGGGGAGAGCTGGCCTCGTGTGCTGGGCACCCCACAGCCGTGCCCGAGAGGCCCCGAGCTCAAAGAACAGGGCTGCGTTCTCAGGTGGGCGAAGGTCCCCGTGGCCCCGGGAGGGGCCGCGGGGGTGTCAGGGGGGGCTGTGCTCTGCCCACACCACCTTCTTCTGCTCGTCCGCGATGGCCAGGCGCACGCAGCCGAGCAGGCTGTCCAGGTCGCTCCAGCCGTCGGCAGCCAGGCTGCTGTGCAGACAGGGCGCCCTGTCTAGCTCGGCCTCCTCCTGCCGGGCTGCCTCCAGGAGCTGCTCCTCCGAAGCGCCCAGCCGCTGCAGGCCCTTCCTGCGGGGGCCGGAGATGGGGGGCGGGCTCAGGGGAGCCATGCCACGGAACCTGCCCGCATGCCCTGACCTCGTGAAGCAGACGGGACCTGGGCCCCGAGTGACACTGCACAGGCGGGGGCAGGTTGTCTGCAACACAACCTGCATTCTCGGAGGGTAAAGGGGTCTGTCCCCTGCCACAGACCCAGTGATGGTTTCCAGCAGTTTGGGTCCTGGGCCAACATGGGCTGGATCGCATCAACTGCGGGAGCCCCAGTAGGTGCGCAGCCCCAGTGGGGCTGACGCAGGTGGCAGGTCCCCCCCCGCAACCCCGGGCGAGGGCAGCTGGACAGTGTTTGGAAACTGCCCGTCTGCACTCCCAGTTCCCGGGCGCCTGCAGGGTGCTCAGAGCCCCCCTCCCACCCTGTGGGCTCTGGGGAGCTCAGGCCTGTGCAGACCCCTGCCCGGCCCAGCCTGCACCTACTTGAGTTTCTTCGCCGCCTTCTCGTTGATGGAGACGTGGACGACGATGGGGAAGATCTCCATCCTCTGCAGGGCACGGACACAGTCCAGCCGGATGTCCAGGAGGGCGTGGGTGTTCTTGGGGACGGGAGAAGTGAGTGAGGACCAGGGGCCTGGGAGGCAGCGAAAGGAGCCCCACCCGGGGCTGGAGCGCCCCTGGGGTTGGGGGCGGAGAGGACGGCCGGGCGGGACTGGGTCTTAGAGGAGACGGGGAGGAGGCTCTGCCGCTTCCCACGTGGGGGTGCTGGCTGCGCGGTCCTCAGGGTTTCCAGCCCTTAGATTTTCCAGGTGAAAATCTGGAAGAAGTTGCCGCTGCTGCACTGAGGCAGCCTTTGCACGGAGCCCCCCTGACCTCTGTGCGCAGGGGGTGGCCGGGCGGGGGTGGCCTGGCCCGTGTGGGGGGAAGCTCTCCGGTGCCCAGCGGGCGCCTCCCGACATGGAGAGTGTGGGTATCTGCGTGTTACGCGCTCGCTTCCAAATATCTATGAAACGTCTCCTGCTTGGGCAAGCTGCGGCTTAAGGAGTTTGAAGACTCAGACACGATCACTCGGATCCTACCCACTGGCCCAGGCAAGGTGTGGACCCCACTGAGCGTGATCGTGGCTGGGTGTCCCTCCCCCAGGCCTTGGGTCAGTTCTTCCCCGTCACCCTCCTGCGCACAGCGGCGTCCCCGAATCCTCCCTGGGCCCACAGCAGGAGCGGCCACCCCCAGGCCCCTCCCTTCACCTTTTCCATGAGGGACTCTATGGCGCGGCGAGTCACCCAGCAGTGGCCACGGGACACCTCCCCCTCCTGGACGATGTCCCCTCTCTGGCTCCAGGCATCATACTCCTCTTGGCTCAAGTACTCTGAAGGTGACATCGGATGGGGGGGTCACATACCCAGCTGCATGGGGGTCCTGATGGGGCTCCCTGCTGAGCACCCCACCCCATGAGCCCCCTAGCTCTGGGAGAAGCTCTCACAGAGGTGTCCACTCCATAACCCTGAGCCCGCTCTTCCCACTCGGAGGGGTCTGTGCCCTGCACACCCACGTGGGGCCATCGGACGTGGCAGGCGCTCGGTCAGCATCAGGTGTGGATGGGGCAGTGAGGGGGCAGGATGGACGGATGGACAGACAGATGAGCGGATGGATGTGCGCAAGCAACACTCCCCCCCTGCACTTCCTCAAGCTCCAAACTTGCACGTCTGACTTCTTACACCTAGAAATCTCGTGACCCCTTAAGTCGCTGTTTTTTTCCCGGGGACAGTTTTGTCCTCCAGGGGATACTTGGCGACGTCTGAGCCATTTTCAGTTGTCACGACCTTGGGGTGCTGTGACATCTAGTCGGTTGAGGCCAGGACACTCAACCCCTGGAGTGCTCAGGACAGCGTCTACAGCAGAGTGGCCCGGCCCGGGTCTGCCACGGTGCCGGGGCTGAGAGCCATGCTCCAAATAAACCGCTGAAGCCCCCACCCAGGGTGTTCTTCCTGAACATCCTCCCCCGTTCCCGGCCAGCCAGGCCCCACAGTCAGAACCGCTCGTGCCTGCGGGCCCGCCCCCCGCTCCTGAGACGGCCCCGTGACTCCAGCCTGCACATGCCGTCCTCCCGTGACTGCTCTGCCAGCGCCCGGTGACATCTCCCAGCCCCCAGCCGAGCCCTTCTCCGATCCGCCTTCCGTTCTGCTTTCAGGACGGGCGTCCAAAGATCAAGCCTGACCGTGTCTTCCCCTGGCTCTGAGAACCTCGCAGACTCTCCCTTGCGCGTCACACACGAGCGAGCGCACGTCCGGCTCGCCTCCCCAGCCTCGCCCGGTCCCACTCGGTGTGGCCCCTGCTGCTGCCCGTGCCTGTGCCGTCAGCCCCGCCTGGCTCTGCTCACAAACTCCCCCCACGCCAGGGAATCCGCCAGCTCCTCTGAGTGCTGTACCCGCTTCCATGTTGGCCCATCGCACCCGCCTGCCCGTCCCAGGTGTCTGTCCCTGCAGCAGAATAGACCCTTGAGGGCCCTCGGCATCTCCAGCTCCCACATGGAGCCTGGCGCACAGTAGGTGCTTACTAGAGCTCCCACATGGAGCCTGGCGCACAGTAGGTGCTTACTAGAGCTCCCACGAGAGCCTGGCACACAGTAGGTGCTTACTAGAGCTCCCACATGGAGCCTGGCACACAGTAGGTGCTTACTAGAGCTCCTATGAGAGGCTGACACACACTAGTTGCTTACTAGAGCTCCCACATGCAGCCTGGTGCACAGTAGGTGCTTACTAGAGCCCCCACATGGAGCCTAGCGCACAGTAGGTGCTTACTAGAGCTCCCACATGCAGCCTGGTGCACAGTAGGTGCTTACTAGAGCTCCCACATGGAGCCTGGCGCACAGTAGGTGCTTACTAGAGAAGCCACGTGGACTGCACCTGCTTCCTTGTCTTCGCTGTGAACTTCAAGAGGGTAGCACAGGGCTCGTCACCCCCAGCTCGTGACCCAGCACCACTGGGCCAGTGGGGAGCTGCCTTGTCTGCTCAGTGGGGTGCTAGCTGCCTCCTGGGGGTCCAGGACACCGACTGAGCGGCTTTTAGCAGGGGATGGCGCCCCTGGGCCACACCGCCTGTCGGTAGGAGGCTGACTGCCAGCAGGAAGTGTGCTGGGTGGAACAGTGTCCACGCAGAGCCTCAGGATGGGACCATGTTTGGACATATGGTCCCTGCAGGTGTAATTAGTTAAGATGAGGTCACACTGGATCAGGGTGGCCCTAAATG